AGGCGCCCCCCCCCCCCCCCCCAATTAATAACCACAGCTATTCTTGTTATGCTATTTGAACTTTTAAAAAAAAATGTCTGTGTTATATAGCCTAATACATAAACCATAAATATAGCCATAAACATTTTCACTTCACATGTGTAAATATTGATCATTTACACAGTGACAAGAAACTTACAGGAGCATGCTATTTGAACTTTTAAAAAAAAATGTCTGTGTTATATAGCCTAATACATAAACCATAAATATAGCCATAAACATTTTCACTTCACATGTGTAAATATTGATCATTTACACAGTGACAAGAAACTTACAGGAGCAGAAGATACCCAAAAGTAGCCTTTTGTTTCAGTTGAGGTATCGTAAAATACATTTAGTCTAATCTGGGTTTGTTCTATGTGGACACAGTCTCACTGACTGAGAAATAGCTCCAAATGATTGAGTTAGAAAAGAGCTGTCCGCACGAATCGAACCGAATCGCAAACGATTCAGACCGTTTTGCAAACCCAATTCACTGAAAAGAACCGACTCGGGCACCCCAGCTGCCCTGAACGACCCACACCAATGTAATCCTGTTTTCATTTCTAACCCGGATTGGGGCGCAGTGCAAAATTTGCACTCCACGAGCGCCTTTTGAAACCCGACACAATGCTAATTAATTAAAAGAAGAAAAAGTAAATGAAACAAAAAGTTTCACTCTGCCCTTACGTAGGCTAGGCTATAGCCTATAAAACACTCAAGACCTAATTCCAGTTTTAAAAAATCCCAACATTTTGTAAAAATAATAATACTAATAAATTAAGAGCAAGAAAGAAAACAAAGAAAGCAGTTCATTTACCTTTCAGACGTGATGGTGTACATTTTTGCGCCGTTGTCCGTGACCAAATGGAACTTCTCCGGATTATTTTTGACCATGGTTTTACTTAAATTGATTTAACTCTTTATCAGCAGTTTAAAATATGGGTTATACCTATTGAAAATGCTAAAAATAACGATAATAATAAATAGCTTAATAAATACGGGCATTAAATTCGTCGTGTGCTAGCAGCATCCCCATGAGGTAAAGTGCTGATATTTGAGGCTCAGTGCAAAAAGCGCTGTTATTTGAAGCCTTGTGACTGCGGACCGTGTGCAAACAGTTTCTGATCAAACTATGATGTGTTTTTCTTCTACAAATCACGATAATTGTATCTTTTAGAATCACTCCAGCTGGGGACATAATAAAGGACAGTAACTCGACCATTTACAAGAATGAAGTGACGCTGCGTAATGAACTTTCTGAAATAGGCGATTTTTTCCAAGCTGCTGTGGTAAACGTTGAAATTGCAATTTGTAACTTCAAGATGTGAATATATATATATCAAAAGAGTACATGTATCACACATCACTATTGTAACCCGTCTTGTTATAATAAACAGGGAGGTATAAGTCTTAATATTTGGTGCTCAGTGGGAAAAAAAGCGGATTTATCTGAAGCCTTGTGACTGCGAACCGTGTGCAAACGATCAGGCTGCTTGCAACTCCAGACTGCGATGATTGCCAGTGAAAGAAAACAGACCTTTTGCGTTTTCTGGTTTGACAATCAGTTAGCACATCCTTGAAACTTACTAACACATTCAGTAAGTTGAGTTTCATATCGGTGCATCCCTAGTTTTTTTCTTTCATCTAAGCGCCCATTCAGTCTATTGTCCTAATGTCTTGCTTACATGCTCCATTAATGTTTTATGTTTTGTTCATTTTAAATATGGGGTAGGCTAAATAAGGGTTAAATATATCAATAAAAAAATGAAACATTTAAAAGTAGCATTTTAATTTGAGTGTATTCAACCCTTCTCTGTAATCCCTTTTCACCGAAATAGCACTAATTCTGGTGCCGGTGTGTCACCGCTGCTGCCTCAGTGACTGACAAAACACAGATCTCCGTCACTCCGTCAAAAACCAACTCCATTTGATCTTGATTTTCATCAAATGTTAAGTGTCTGATAAAGCCACAATACCAACTCTGATGACGCAGTGTTTAATTGTATTTCTATCCTTTTTCCTATATTTCAGTGCTTAGTGGTGTGCCATTGGATTTTTTATTTATCAAAACTGTGCCCCCCCCCCCCCCCCCCCCCCCCCCCCCCCCACCCACCCCCCCCCTTCACCCCCACCCCCCCCCCCCCCCCCCCCCCCCCCCCCCCCCCCCCCCCCCCCCCCCCCCCCCCCCCCCCCCCCCCCCCCCCCAATTAATAACCACAGCTATTCTTGTTATGCTATTTGAACTTTTAAAAAAAATGTCTGTGTTATATAGCCTAATACATAAACCATGAATATAGCCATAAACATTTTCACTTCACATGTGTAAATATTGATCATTTACACAGTGACAAGAAACTTACAGGAGCAGAAGATACCCAAAAGTAGCCTTTTGTTTCAGTTGAGGTATCGTAAAATACATTTAGTCTAATCTGGGTTTGTTCTATGTGGACACAGTCTCACTGACTGAGAAATAGCTCCAAATGATTGAGTTAGAAAAGAGCTGTCCGCACGAATCGAACCGAATCGCAAACGATTCAGACCGTTTTGCAAACCCAATTCACTGAAAAGAACCGACTCGGGCACCCCAGCTGCCCTGAACGACCCACACCAATGTAATCCTGTTTTCATTTCTAACCCGGATTGGGGCGCAGTGCAAAATTTGCACTCCACGAGCGCCTTTTGAAACCCGACACAATGCTAATTAATTAAAAGAAGAAAAAGTAAATGAAACAAAAAGTTTCACTCTGCCCTTACGTAGGCTAGGCTATAGCCTATAAAACACTCAAGACCTAATTCCAGTTTTAAAAAATCCCAACATTTTGTAAAAATAATAATACTAATAAATTAAGAGCAAGAAAGAAAACAAAGAAAGCAGTTCATTTACCTTTCAGACGTGATGGTGTACATTTTTGCGCCGTTGTCCGTGACCAAATGGAACTTCTCCGGATTATTTTTGACCATGGTTTTACTTAAATTGATTTAACTCTTTATCAGCAGTTTAAAATATGGGTTATACCTATTGAAAATGCTAAAAATAACGATAATAATAAATAGCTTAATAAATACGGGCATTAAATTCGTCGTGTGCTAGCAGCATCCCCATGAGGTAAAGTGCTGATATTTGAGGCTCAGTGCAAAAAGCGCTGTTATTTGAAGCCTTGTGACTGCGGACCGTGTGCAAACAGTTTCTGATCAAACTATGATGTGTTTTTCTTCTACAAATCACGACAATTGTATCTTTTAGAATCACTCCAGCTGGGGACATAATAAAGGACAGTAACTCGACCATTTACAAGAATGAAGTGACGCTGCGTAATGAACTTTCTGAAATAGGCGATTTTTTCCAAGCTGCTGTGGTAAACGTTGAAATTGCAATTTGTAACTTCAAGATGTGAATATATATATATCAAAAGAGTACATGTATCACACATCACTATTGTAACCCGTCTTGTTATAATAAACAGGGAGGTATAAGTCTTAATATTTGGTGCTCAGTGGGAAAAAAGCGGATTTATCTGAAGCCTTGTGACTGCGAACCGTGTGCAAACGATCAGGCTGCTTGCAACTCCAGACTGTGATGATCGCCAGTGAAAGAAAACAGACCTTTTGCGTTTTCTGGTTTGACATTCAGTTAGCACATCCTTGAAACTTACTAACACATTCAGTAAGTTGATTAGGTTTTAATGGTTGACTAATTTAATCACTTCAATGGTACATTGTATTTTCCCAAACAAGTCACAAGAAGGCTATTGAAATTATTATAACAATTTGAAACCAATCGGGATAGGATACTAATAGATATTTCTTCAAATAATTCACATCATATGTCAAAAAAATATTTGTGAATACATAATTCTCAATAGGACATACCCTCCAAATAGTCCATGTAAAACACAAGGAATTCGTCTCTTAAGAAAATGTAGCAAGACATCATTCCAAATGCAGTTCCAATTATTCCAAATAGAACATCAGACATTTAACAAAACATAGTGAGAACATAGATTCAAATTTGTAAACAGTTTGGGCAAACATACATGCTATTTTCACTTTATTTACAATCATACAATATAAGTAAACAGACTTTTATTCTTTGCCTTCAGCTTTATTTGGCTCAGACCAACACATTACAAAGGCTGATGTTAAAATGTACACTTGCAACTAAATAAGTTAAAAGTTGTGGCTTCACAGACAATGAACGGCCCCTTCGGATCCTACAAAGGAAACGGTTGTAACTAGTAGTTTGATTCTTTTCATCACAGATGACCAATGAGAGAGAGACCTGTTACATCTCTAAACTTACAGGAGCAGAAGATACCCAAAAGTAGCCTTTTGTTTCAGTTGAGGTATCGTAAAATACATTTAGTCTAATCTGGGTTTGTTCTATGTGGACACAGTCTCACTGACTGAGAAATAGCTCCAAATGATTGAGTTAGAAAAGAGCTGTCCGCACGAATCGAACCGAATCGCAAACGATTCAGACCGTTTTGCAAACCCAATTCACTGAAAAGAACCGACTCGGGCACCCCAGCTGCCCTGAACGACCCACACCAATGTAATCCTGTTTTCATTTCTAACCCGGATTGGGGCGCAGTGCAAAATTTGCACTCCACGAGCGCTTTTTGAAACCCGACACAATGCTAATTAATTAAAAGAAGAAAAAGTAAATGAAACAAAAAGTTTCACTCTGCCCTTACGTAGGCTAGGCTATAGCCTATAAAACACTCAAGACCTAATTCCAGTTTTAAAAAATCCCAACATTTTGTAAAAATAATAATACTAATAAATTAAGAGCAAGAAAGAAAACAAAGAAAGCAGTTCATTTACCTTTCAGACGTGATGGTGTACATTTTTGCGCCGTTGTCCGTGACCAAATGGAACTTCTCCGGATTATTTTTGACCATGGTTTTACTTAAATTGATTTAACTCTTTATCAGCAGTTTAAAATATGGGTTATACCTATTGAAAATGCTAAAAATAACGATAATAATAAATAGCTTAATAAATACGGGCATTAAATTCGTCGTGTGCTAGCAGCATCCCCATGAGGTAAAGTGCTAATATTTGAGGCTCAGTGCAAAAAGCGCTGTTATTTGAAGCCTTGTGACTGCGGACCGTGTGCAAACAGTTTCTGATCAAACTATGATGTGTTTTTCTTCTACAAATCACGACAATTGTATCTTTTAGAATCACTCCAGCTGGGGACATAATAAAGGACAGTAACTCGACCATTTACAAGAATGAAGTGACGCTGCGTAATGAACTTTCTGAAATAGGCGATTTTTTTCCAAGCTGCTGTGGTAAACGTTGAAATTGCAATTTGTAACTTCAAGATGTGAATATATATATATCAAAAGAGTACATGTATCACACATCACTATTGTAACCCGTCTTGTTATAATAAACAGGGAGGTATAAGTCTTAATATTTGGTGCTCAGTGGGAAAAAAGCGGATTTATCTGAAGCCTTGTGACTGCGAACCGTGTGCAAACGATCAGGCTGCTTGCAACTCCAGACTGTGATGATCGCCAGTGAAAGAAAACAGACCTTTTGCGTTTTCTGGTTTGACATTCAGTTAGCACATCCTTGAAACTTACTAACACATTCAGTAAGTTGATTAGGTTTTAATGGTTGACTAATTTAATCACTTCAATGGTACATTGTATTTTCCCAAACAAGTCACAAGAAGGCTATTGAAATTATTATAACAATTCTATACTTGAACAATACTTCTTCATCACAAAGAGGGACGATGAATTCAATTGATAGAGCTCATCATTGAAACACTCAGGCAGCCATGGACTGCATATTGGACACATTCATTAGTACAGTGGCCAGGTGGTGTCAACTCTTAGAAAATGAAGCAAGAAAGACTGACAGCCAGAGGACCAGGAGAGTGGTGATGGGGCGAGAGTCCAGTTCAATCAGAGGGGCTGTAAAGATCACCAGAGGAGGGCAGGCGGGCATGGCCACCTGTAACATTAGGGAGCCGAGAGAGGTCTGGGAGACCACTGAGACGAGACCGCAGCTCCTTCCGTACCTGGGACACCCGGGCCAGTTTGCGCTTGTATTCCTAAAATAAAAACATGCAAACAAGCTAGTTAGTGCAAAAATATAGATCTGGCAGTATATTAGTAAAATATTTGAATTAATCGTAATGAAATTTTGAAGCAAAATAACTAAAATAATATTTAGTTTTTGTAAAATGTACTCTTATAATCAGTTTTATTTACAACCTTGATTTTTTTTTAGTGTATAGTTTCCATTGTTTTGTGTTGCTGCAGAGATCCTTAGTTTTATATATATATATATCTCTCGAAGATAAGGCTCTTTAAGACCTGCAACAAGTCTAACTCTTTTTGGAATTTATTAAATCTAATTAACTTCAATTTAGTTCAGATACACAAACTGTTATAACATCACTTTGTTTCAGTTCTCAGTATCTCACTCAAACATGTATCAACTGTTACCGTTTACAATGAGTACAGATAAATTAAAACAATATTGTCCGCTGTTATATGAAGCATTTTAAACATTTATATATGCAAAACAGCATAGTCAACATCCTTAAGCTTCTAGAATCAATACATTTTGCCTCTGTGATTGTGTCAAAGGCTTAAGTTCTTGACATTTGTTTCCTAACAACTGTTAACTATTAATATTTAATTGACATCAGTCACAAAGTTTAGGAATGCTACTCTGTTCCAACATGTAAAGTTTTAAAAGTTACTTTTTAAATCTCTTCAACCTGCCTACAAGTCTAATTAAGCACTAGACTGTTTACTTTTGTAAAGAATTAGAAAAGCATCTCACAACTAAAGTTTCAAATCATGATTTAAATTTAAACATTCATTTACGCCAGAATATTTTTTCAGATGCATATTCTGACTAATTTAACTACAAAAATTACAAGTTTGTACCTTTTTATATGGTTAATGTTTGTTCTACTACAATGTAAAGCTATACATGGCAAATGTTTTACACGGAAATTAAATATGGACTACACTGATGTAATAACAGGACAACTATTTTTTAATCCTTAAGAGTTTTCAATCAGACTTCAGGGATTCAAATGAAAACTTAAAATTGAAACCAATATTTAAATGCATGAACTATGCTTATAAATACTATGCTTTATAGATGATGAACTGTGTTTAAAAGATTTAATTGAAATAAACATTCTACACATTTGGCATTATAAACTAACAATGAACAATCTTTTACAAGCATTTGTTAATCATCATTTGTAAACATACTATTATTCATTAGTTATTAATACATTTTGAAGTAACAGTCTTAATATTAACCAAGAATAATAGATGTTGCAAAGGTGTTCATTGTTTAAATCATGTTAACTACAGTAGAACTAATTTTAAGGCATATAAGTTTTCAGTAAAGTGATAGAGAATACGTTTCAGCCAGTTTCTTAGGTTATTTCACTCAATAAGTATGTATTTGTGAAAGCCAGTGCATAAGCAAAAAAGATGCACACTCAAGAGATTGGTGTTTTTTTTCTTTTATTTTTATTTATTCTGTAAATGCGACATCAGATGGAACACAGGAACCTGCTCACGACCTGTTGGCAAAGGCTGGAAAATGAAGCAGTTAATGCGAATGTAACTTTTAACTTGGTGTTTGTTTACTTACCAGACCAGTAATGCATGTCTCATGCATAGGAATTAAAAAAAAAGAGATAGCTAGACTGCATTTGCTGAAATTATATTAAATACTTCACTGCCTTCTATGGGCAGAACAAACCCAAATATGGTGAAAATATGGTGCAACCATGTGCAGCTATAATCACATGAACCTAAGTATAAAAAAAGAAAGTAGAGGAGAAAGAAACTGACATGTAGAGACAGCAACTGAGGATAAAAACAAAAGGGAAGAAACTGTGAAGTCAGTAAGTTTACCCACTTCTAGTTTCTGCTCGTTCTGGGCCAGGCCGTCTCTCTGACTCTGCAAAAAGACAGCAAGAGTGCGTGTGAGTTGCCGTCGATCATCAATCTCTGCTGCCAGCCGCCCACTGTAGTCAGCTAGAAGCATGCAGGCCTCTTCCACCAACCGAGAAAGACGCCCCCCTGACTCTTTATCTGAAAAAAACACACATTCGGACAAACGTAGACAGTCAGAATGGTTAACTACATATGATCTGTTTTAGTGCTCTATTCCAATTGAGCAATTACAATCTGTGCTCTAGATGTGCCGACACCACAAATTATCAATAACAAATTAGATTATTTAATTCTGTTTCTGATGCATTTACTTACTACTGACAAGGAAGGTTCCATGGGTGTTCTCACCTGTAACTTTGTGCAATAGGGTGGTGTCCTGCACCTCTGGGGGTAGAGCAGAGATCCTCTGGCGGAGAGCTGCATCGCTGGAGGCTGCGTTCTCAAGCTCCTGTAGTGCTCGGATCAGATCAGCAGTCTAAGATATACAAAACAAGTCATGACATGGAAGACTAAACTGACTTGAGGTCAGTTTATAGGTAAATATGCATGATGTAAGGCCATTCTTTCATACCTGTGGAGGTTCAGCAGGGGAGCTTTGGGAGGCGAAGTCATCATCGTTCACCTTAATCTCCTCATAAGGCCTTTTCTTGGCCTTCTTTTTTACCTCTGTAAGAAGAACATGAGGAGACATTCTACATGCTATACTTCAACAAAGGCGTCCTCACTCTAAACAAAGACTTCACATGACACTTATCAAAACAAACTACTGAGTCTCTCTGAGCGACTATACTGTATTCGCAATAACCTTTGAAATCAGTGTGACCTTGTGGTGGTTTACTTACGTAGGACATCAGAGAGTTTGTCCAGTATGCCATTCTCATAGACAGCTCTTTCCTGCCAGATGGACAGAACTCTACCTAACTGTTTCTGACAGCTCTCGTCTCCTTCACTGGACAGGATAGATAAAAACACGGTAAATATAATTTTAGGACAGGAAGAATCATAGCAACACAACTACAAGTTGCCAATGTCTGGATTCAAGTTAAGACCCAATTATACTTGCCTAAATTTTTTTTTACATTTTAAGCATTTAACAAATAGAAACTCACTTGAAGGTTAAAATACTGTACTAGAGTGTTTTTTATATATATACACACACATGGTGAGAATTGTTGGTACCCTTGGTAAATATGTTCAAAGAAGGCTATGAAAATAAATCTGCATTGTTAATCCTTTTGAGCTTTTATTTAAAAAATTCACAAAAATCTAACCTTTCATTGGAGAATAAGAATTTAAAATGGGGGAAATATCATTATGAAATAAATGTTTTTCTCTAATACACATTGGACACAATTACTGGTACCCTTTTATTCAATACTTTTTGAAACCTCCATTTAGTAATGGCCAAAATAGTATAGGTGAGTTTTCTCCTATATTGCCTGATGAGGTTAGAGAGCACCTGACAAGAGATCAGAGACCATTCCTTCATCCAGAATCTCTCCAGACCCTTCAGATTCCCAGCTCCATGACGGTGCTTCTCCTTTTCAGTTCACCACACTCATTTTCTATAAAGTGCAGGTCAGTGAACTGGAATGGCCATAGCACAAGCTTGGTTTTGTGCCCAGTGATCCATTTTTGGATTATTGTCTAGTTGGAAGATCCAAACATGGCCCATTATAAGATTTCTAACATGATTGAGTCAGTCAATTTAGATTTTTTATCTGTTGGTATTTGATAGAATCAAAGATGCCATGTGTCTAAACAAGATGTCCAGGACCTCCAGCAGAAATATAGGTCCACAACATTATAAATACAGCAGTAAATTGGCTTCATCTTGAGGGTTTGCTGCTAAAAAGCCAATTTTTTAGTTACATCTGATCATAGAAGCCAGTCCCATTTGAAGTTCCAGTCGTGTCTGACAACTGAATATGCTGGAGATTATTTTTTGGTGAAAGCATTTTCGCTTCTTGATTTTTTTCTTGAAACCCTCCCAAATAACATGTGGTGCAGGTGCTGTTTGATTTTTTTTTTCTGACCCCGAAACCCAACCTTTTTCTGCAATTCTCCAGCTGTGATCCTTGGAGAGTCTTTAGCCACTCAAACTCTCCTCTTCACCATGCATTAGGACGATATAGACACACGTCCTCTTCCAGGCAGGTTCGTAACATTTTCTGTTGATTGGAACTTATTCATTATTGCCCTGATGTTGGAAATTTCACTGCTCTAGCTCTTTTCTTAAAGCCATTTTCTAATTTGTGAAGCTCAATTATCTTTTGCTGCACATCAGAAATATCTTCTTTGGTTTTTCTCATTGTGATGGGTGATTAATTTGGAATTTTGCCTTTGTTTTCTCTCCCATTTATATTTTTGTGAAACAGGAAGCCATGGCTGGATAATCTCATGTTCATAATCACCCTGGTATGCTCAAAATTGTGAATATAAATGGGAATACATTTCAGATATATTTTACTCATAAGAATTTCTAGGGGTACCAGTAATTGTGTACAATGTGTATTTGAGAAAAAAACATTTCGTAATGATATTTCCCCCTATTTTAAAATCTTATTCTCCAATGAAAGGTTAGATTTTTGTGATAAAAAAATAAAAATAAAAGATCAAAAGGATTAACAATTTGATCATATTTACCAAAGATACTAACAATTCTGACCACGTGTGTGAGTGTATATATATATATATATATATATATATATATCAGAATGAGCTGTATTGCCAGGTATGTTTTCACATACAAGGAATTTGTTTTCATGACAGAAGCTTCCGTATGCTCAAAATTGTGAATATAAATGGGAATACATTTCAGATATATTTTACTCATAAGAATTTCTAGGGGTACCAGTAATTGTGTACAATGTGTATTTGAGAAAAAAACATTTCGTAATGATATTTCCCCCTATTTTAAAATCTTATTCTCCAATGAAAGGTTAGATTTTTGTGATAAAAAAATAAAAATAAAAGATCAAAAGGATTAACAATTTGATCATATTTACCAAAGATACTAACAATTCTGACCACGTGTGTGTGTGTGTGTGTGTATATATATATATATATATATATATATATATATCAGAATGAGCTGTATTGCCAGGTATGTTTTCACATACAAGGAATTTGTTTTCATGACAGAAGCTTCCGCAGTGCAACAGAATGA